AACCATGTCGCCCCACGTTGTATGGGTTGATGTATGGAGTATGGATATGGTCTGGTGGTTTTCTCCTTCGAAGCTTGTAGTAGCGGGCGAACCCTCTCCTCTCTCCATTTCCTCCCCTTTCTTCACCACTCCTTCACTCTGTCACCGCGCTCTGCCTGGGCTGTTCATTATCGTCACTCTCCACCTGGGGCTTGTGCAGACTGGCACAGGTACAGACCGCCCATCTTTCAGACATGATAGTTGTTGAGTTGCCGAGAGTCACTTGGTACGCTTGAGTCGGGCGTTGCTATCCCTTGTTCTTGACGAACTCTCCTCTTCTTCACACCGACTTCGACTGCGGTGTTTGTTGCCTAACTCCAGCAAACCCCGTAGAGTTCTCTAGAATAGCAACGCCCCAGCATCCCACTCTGGGGTTGTAGCGCTGCCTGGAGGACTTCAGCCGCATGAATAGCCGCTTTGCCGGTTCGACCCGCACTCACGTCTGTGTAAAACATTTGGACCCTTTGGACCCCTCCTTGAACTTCCCAAAACGCATCTGAGATCTGCCAAGTGCATGTACTCCGTAGCTATGGGTAAATGCTCCGGTGCATGTTTCGCTGCCAACTCCTGAACCGCACTGCAGCAACTCATCTCGTTCAAGTTGACGGCAAGGCATTTTCTTGCCCTGTCGGATTGCTTCGCAACGCATGTCTGGCCCAAGCTCAAACGCAGCGCAGACGCGTGCAAGCTCTAAACTTCAAGCTCAGCTCCAAGCTGCTTCGTTCCGTGTGCCAAGCTGCATTAATCAGTGTGCATGGACTTCGTACTGTACACCGCATGCTGAGCGATTTTTAAGAAGCCAAACAGGCTTCAAATGGAGTCATGGGGCTATAGCTGGCCGACGTAATGTGCGTGCTGTCCTGCCCAGTTGCTTTCGCTGTGGCGCGCTGATCGCATACGTATGGGTGCCGGAAGCTCCATGGAGGCAAGGCACAGGGCAGCTTGAAGGCTCCACCACAAGCTCGGGGTCATAGGGGAAGCTGTTTATAGTGGAGTATTTCGTATACGCAGCTGTTAAACTTGCAGGCCCGTGATTCTAAGCCTCCAGCGAACCACCCCGTCTCAACAGGAAGGCTTTCTTCATTGCTGTTCAATAGCAAGCAGATCTTACAACAATCGGTCGATCGGATCAAGATGTTTCGTCTGCATCTCTGATGGCGGTCGATTTGCCTTGCCGACGAGCGAAGAACGAACACCGTGCGCCTCATCTTTCTTAACTAAGCGGAACTCACTGCCGCTGCTACCACACTTTCGATACGCTTTCTCGTAGCTTTGTTTAGTACATGATCTATCCTATGCTTTCGGCAATGTGAATACATGTAGAGAGATTATTTGCATGTGCTTGCTGCAGGTTAGGCAGGGTCTCAGGCAAACGGATTTCGAGCCCGTTCATATGGGGGGACTAACATTAACCTACTAGGGTAAAATGGTTGGAAATATAAAGCTACCGGACGTAATAATAAGTTGAGTCAGACCAGTGACGCAGTGGTTAGCGTTCCGTTCTTATATGGTTCCTTCGGGAGTCATATGACTCTGATTCCTCAGTTATGCGGGGGTCGTGGGTTCGAATCCCACTTGGTCTAATGGCAAACCCTTTTTTTTTTATTTTTAGTTCAGTTTCTTACTGCCCTCCTACTCAACGCATATACAGTACCCCCTGTAGTGGCAGATCTCGCGAACTCCTTCCAACCCATATTGTGAAATTGCTCCCTCCTAGCGGCATCACCCAGTTCTGCCTCCACGTGCTCCAATAACTCAAGTCCTTCTGCGTCAATTTCATGGTGACATTGCGAGTTTCACCCGGGCGCAGAGAAACCTTACTGAACGCACGGAGCATTCGAGGCGGGAACTTTTCCGCACCACTCATACCACTACCACCGCCATCTGCATTAGAATCGTGTATCTTCTCCGGGAACGAAACGTAGACCTGCACCACCTCTGCCCCCGCTCGTTCACCAACGTTCGTCACTAGAGCGCTCACGCCCAAGACTTCGTCATATAGTGATGGATTCCCACCCAACCCCCCTCCGGCCGCTGATGACGGGCGCTGAGTGCTGCTACGGACCAAGGAGTCTAACATCCACGCGAGTGTTCGGGTGTCAAACCCGTCCGCGCAGTGAAAGCGAACGGAGGTGAGAGCCCCTCGAGGG